AATACCTTAATCAAAAATCCCTCCCTGTCCTATAAATTGCGATCGAAGTAAAAAAAAAGGAGGGATTGTTAATCAAGGTATTTTTATTACTGAACGAAAAACTTGATTCTGGGCTACAAAGATGACATGTGTTTTATCCTTTCAGCACTGATATCCGCCGATATATTATGGTTTAAAATCAAACGGCCCGTATAAATACCGTAATATTACGCAGGCGTCGTAATATACGTAGTTTACGATTAAAAAAAATTTCCGAATGTGATATTTAGATTGTTTCGTTAAGGCAATTTTTCGAAGTTTTTTTTTTATGAGAATACGCTAATATATGTTTGGATAAACTTTCAGACTTCTAACTAATAATTTTACTAAGCAAAAAATGGTGGGACGATTTTGCTAAAATTTTTTTAATCGATAATGTTTATGGTTAATTTGTAGAATTTTGAGTTTCATAAAATTATACTAAAATACTCTGGCAAATAAAACCTTTCTTTGAAAAAATTTTTAATCGATTGGGTTAAAAATAAATCCGATTAGCAATTAATATTAATATCCACTAATGGATATCTAACCAGACTTTATAAATTTTAAGACATCCAATAATCTCTTATGAAGGAAAATGAAAATTAGGAACACTATTTTGATAATATAATCTTTTTTTAAATACTCATGGCGGTGGTAGTAATAACTCTGAAAATTTTAAAATTAATTTCAATTGTTATAAAAAAAGAAAATTAAAATATTTTAAATATAAAATTTTAGTCGAAGCTTAATCTTAACCTATACAACCACAATGAATCGTAACATTAATTGCTGATCCGCCACACTTTTTACTGTATATATAAAAAATTGGCGTATATAGGTAAGTATAAATTTTTACAATATAATAATAGATGAAACTTTAATATCTGTCAAGTATGCTATAAAGGCATTCTTTTCGTAAAAAGTTTGGTAAATTTTTTTTTAAAAAAAAAATAAAAGATACTTTCTTATGTGCTGAAAAAATCAATTTTTTAAACGTATATATTTTATAACTTTTATAGATCAGCAATCACACATCAAATATTCAAAACCGAAAAGATTAAAACATTTTTTATGAATTTAAAAAAATTAAAATTATTTTCTAAACATAGTCAAATGAATATGATCGAAATCTTAAATAAAAATATGATTCGTGATAATATTTAGAATTTTAAATAAATTTTCAAAGATCGAAAATGGAGTTTAGAAGAGGTGGAAATGGTAGTGGCGTAATAATAATAGTAATAATAATAATAATAATAATATACGTAGTAATAATAGTAATAGTAGAATTAATTTCAATAATTATAATAATAATTATTATCATTATATGATAACAATATTCAAAGGGAAAAAATAGATTTTCAAAAAAAATATTCGTGTTGTAATAAAAATTTGAAAATAAAGTTTTTTTTTTTGAGAAATAAATGAGTGGTTGTTTAATTAAAATTTATCTTTTTTTTTTTTATGAGAAAAAATAATTATAAATTTTCCCTTATCTAATGTAAAGATAATCTTTTTTACATAAAATCTCAGGTGCAATGTATGGAAGATATTATTTAATTGTTTGTCAACTGCCCACTAAATCCAAAATCACTGATTTTTCATTATCGCAATGATTTAAAACTAACGTAATCTTGGGTGGTTAGATCTTTGGTTAGTCCGCTCCGCAACATTTGACAAGAATTGCTGAAGTTTTATCAAGTGTGTCACCTATCAATTTTTTGTACTTATGTAATTAATATTTACGAGATATCAAACAGGATATAATAAATGCAATAATAATTTAACTTACTTCTTGAAACCAATTCACATTATTATCTTTTCAAAACAACCTTTTGTCTTTCAGATCTTTCCAATATTTGTCTTTCAGAATTCTATTCATCATAGCCTCCATCTTTCCAAATTGCTGTATAAATGGTAGCACATCCTCCTTCTGTCAGATGTTCTATATTCTCAAATTGATCATATTCAATCCATTCAATTACTCTATCAGGTGCTACAGTTTTTTGCTGACATTCTTGAACTAATTTGGCAATTTCATTATTTCTGGATGTCCAATTTCCAAATTATTTTCTAAATATTTACGAATGCAAAATTCACAATATTGGATTGCTTGCATTGTTATTGTTTTTCTACGGAATTTCCATCAACTCTAATTTCATCATATGTTTTCGTTAATTTATTAAATAAAAAAATCTTTTCATTTTCTGTAAGAGATGAATCATTTTCAATCATATTTCTTCGATATCCTTCTTGCTCATTAATTGTTTTATGAATATTGAAGTCTAGGGTATAAAATGTTTTATCCCAAACATTATATAATTTCTCATTCCATTCAATTTCTTGAGTTGCCATTTCTTATTTTATTTAAAGTTAATATAATTTTATTAATAAATAATAATTTATTGTTTATAAATTTATTTATAAATAAAAATATAATAGAAAATTATGGTGGGTTAAATTAATTATTTATTAGTGATTGTGCACAAAAAAAAATTTTACTAGGCAAATGTTAACCATTCAAGTTATATAGTATATGGTTAAGAAAATCTAGTGAAATATTATACTACAATGTAAGATAGCGGGTAAATAGTAAAATAGTAAAGTTTTATTTCTATTTATATAGGTGGTCATATGACTTTGTGGGTAGCGCATAACAATAATATTGATATTGCATTAAACTAAAATTCATTTATACCTTGGTTTTACAATATAAAAAAAATCGGCTAACCAAAAATAAAGTGATTGTAATTAAATATAAAAAATATGTAAACATGCATGATTAATTAGAACATTGAACATATTCAGGACAATTATGAAAGTTGTATTTAACAACACTCCCATCAAAAATGCATCTTGATCATCTTGACCACCACATCAACTTCAGTGTACCGATTATTTGATCCTAAGTGACCCTGAACTATCATATGAACACAATAGGATGCCCTCGTTATCAGTTAGACTTTTGTCCCAGTCTGGCCCAGAGCTCTGTCATATCACGGTACCATTACAATCCGTCACATAAGAATGACATCTCGATCCGTTTTACGAATCAGACATAGATCATTTGGGACATAGCATTAAAGCTCTACCTTTCGAAAAGGAATGCATGATAAAAATGAAGAATATGTTAAATTTCATGGTGTATACGTATTATTAGTATGGGATAGCATAAAGTGTATCATACATATGTCGTTCCTCATGTGTCTCCTTTCAACTGACCAGAATTAGGGTTAGGGTTGGCTGAAGTTATAAAGATTTACGTAAGATCTACATAGGCCAGTTCTATAATTATGGTCAAAAGGTGACACCTGGTCAAAGATGACACCTCAGTTACAACATATACATATAAGAATGGTCGATTTCGGAAAGTACATGGTATTTTTTTTGCATGTGAGATTTGCGCCTCCACAATATGACAGTTTTGCACATAACACCCGCACATTTAGTTCTATTGGAAACGTCAAAGCTATGCCTAAGACGACATTAATACAAATTCGTCGTACATGTTATAGCATCGTCACACCTAAACTAAGTGGACTATAGTATTTCCACTAAAGTTACTGCCTGGTATTTTAGTAATTTAGGATCGAGTAGGCCAGTTGGTAAAACCTTAAACGTATTCACGGAATCTGTTCCCGAAGTTTCTGTGGTAAAATTTATACAACAAAAAAAGATATAATATGTGCAACTCGTGAACATAATTCGAATTAACTATAGATAAATTTAAAGATTTATGAAGATATATGAAGTAAAGTTTCCTGATAATAGACCTAAACAAAACAACTAAATTTTTATAAAATGGAACCACTAATAAAGTTAATATACATGAAAAGAACAACAATAAGAATTAATTCGTGATTCGCGATAAACGAGAAGGATCTACATATAAAAACCATATCAAGTTCCGGAATAAGAATATCGCAAGAACTATCTTATAAAAGTCACTTTCTCCATTAACATCATCAAAAGCAATGGTACTGATTTAAGTATAGTTCATGTTTCAAATGACAACATCAATAAAATAAAGAGATATACTTTTTTTTTAACGATTAATATTATATAAATCCTTTCCGTTTTTAGAGGTGGCGGATTAATTATTAGATCTAAATTAAAATCAACAAAAAAAAAGGACAAAAACGATCGATTAATCAAAAATAATCATCATATATAGATTACAAAATAGTAAAGTCAAGATGTTTTATAATTTATTTGTATAACAACCGGACAAATTTAACCGTAAATTATAATAGAAAAAGGGCAAATTTACTTTTTTTTTGGATTCTGTTTTGCATTCCAATAAAACCTCTTATTGTTATAATAAATGTATGTATTATCTCTTTTTTCTTTAATTGATTTAATTTATTATTTAAAATAATATACCATTTATGCATTTAGCATTTAATTCTGAACAAAATGATTTTGAAATTTCTGAAGAGAATTGTTATCATCGTTTATTTTTACTGCCATAATATCATTTTTTAACCAATATCATTAACTGAGATTGCAAATCGTTCGTTATTTGTTACATCTTGCGTCATAATTTTTCAAATTCAATACTTACAATACTACAATTCTGTAGAAACAAAATGAACAAAGCGCCACAGGGTTAAAAATCGTCAGACGCCACACCTTATTTAAAGTGAAATTCAACCCCGTTTTATTATGAGATAGGAAAAATTTACGCAAGGTCGCCTGACCATTGTGTTCGATTAGATAATAGATAAACTAATATGGAAACAAAGACAATTTTTCTAGTGGGAAAATATTCTTTCACACTCCGTTAAAAATTTCTCAAAATATTCGACAAATTTTTTTACATATCATTTGACGTGTCAAAAAAAATATAATAACTAAATTTTTCAGAGATATATTTTTTCTATATCACTAAACCAAATAAACTTATTATTTTCGTTCGTGTGTTAATTTTTTTTTTCACGTGTAATTATTTGAATTATCTAATTTAAAACTAAATTTCTATGAATAAAAGACTTCCTCTAATTGAACTTCTTGAAGATTTTTCAAGTTCTCAAAATGATAATGATCAGACGCGAAAAATCTTAAAAGAGCGGTGTATCAATGCCTCAAAAACGGAGCTAGATGAATTCACCAACGAGTTATCGCAACTTCTGCGCACGTCTCCTCATGACTACCTATTATCACTACAAGCATTTTTTTCATATCTCTACAACGATTCTTCAGGCGTCAAAAAATGGCTTCCCAATTTTGCATCAATGATAATCAACAAAATTATGCTGCCGAACTTGCATCACTCTGATATTAAAAGTTTTGGATTGATCCTTCACTATTGTATCGAATTCCTCTGGCGTGCTCGAACTGACAAATTTGACTCAAATTTAACCTTAAAACGCGTCTTCCGTACAATACTTAATGTGTATGGTGTCTTTGAAATTTTGATATCAAGTGCCCCTGGTCGCCATTGTTTCAAGCGCGTTTTATTCGATTTCAACTTAATTAATCATATTGAAAAAGATGAAATACTTAAAGCAATGGATATTATCGCCGCTCTTATGGAAAAATGTTATGAACATAAAGTAGTTTCACCTCTGCTTTCAGAAGGATTGTCTACATACAAGGCTTGCACATTATTATTGAAAACTTTAAGTATTCACTGTAATTCAAAACTGACCACCAAGGAAAACTTAGCACCTACTTTGCAAGACATGGTTAAGCTTGAAAACAAGGAATGTAGAACAAAATATAGAAACGAGAACTCTAGTGACTTTAATATAAACTTATCATTCTTATCTACCCAAGACGAACAACATCTCGCTCTTTTGAAGATGAAATTCCCTCAGAAGCTATCACATTTACCCAAATTATTTCACGAACTAGAACAACGGAAAATAACTACATTCCAGGTAAGCTTGATTTTTTTTTTTTTTTTTTACTTCAAATACACACATGCACACAAATAATATATATACACATACAATGAATCTTTTTAATCTCATTTAGGATTTGATTGGATTCATGCCATGTGCCAGTTGTCACAAAAGAGCCCTCATTGATCTTTATCCTGATAAATATTCTTCACTCATGGAACAAGAGAATGTTGTGGAGAATGGTAAAAAGGGATCAAAACAACTTTTATGTCTTCCATTTGAATTTAATGAAAATGATAATCTTGGGCCTTGGGATATTCTACTTAGCGAACATGCAATTGGAGACATTCAGATATTAGAGATATCTTATGGTATCGAAGCAACTGAGGCAGCTATGAAGAAACTCTGGCAAATATCTTCGGGTAAATGGAACAAGCGCGACCTAATACGCAAGGTGTCATCATTCCGTAATATTCCTGTCTATGAAGTTAAAGTTCCAAAATATAATGGTCTAAAGATCATATGGCAAATTGATTATGGGTTTTCTGTTCGTAGCCTTTCGCTTTCTCAACACGTAAAGATTTGGGCTATTACTAGCAATCAAGAACAAATTAACTCGATATTAGAAAAACTTGAGATAGTCCATCAAGTTTACAATACTGAACATAAACGTCGGTGTGAATTCCAACAAATGAATGAAGACGGAGTAATTTTACCGATATGTTTTAAGGATGAGCAGAAAACAAAGTCCATGGATGATGATCCAGAGATGGATGGTGAGAAACTCTTAGAAGTTCATAAGATACTTATTACTAATAAGTTTTTTCCTTTATCTAAGGTAAAGAATGCATCATTGTTATAGGAAATTGGAGTAATCACATTATATTAATACATTTTTTCTCCTTTAAAAATAATCTTTCATTTTTCAGAATTTGATCAAGTCACTTGTTTTTAAAGGCGCCGATTTCACTTTCCAGGTTTCCAAGACCGAATACGAGATCATTAAAAATCCTACTTCAGCAATTGTCATTGGTCGATCAGGTCAGTATTCTTTTGGTTATTAAATAAGAAATAACTGATAAAACTGATACGATTCTTTTATTTATAATATATAGGGACCGGAAAAACAACGAGTATCATGTTTAGACAGATCTCTTCATACTGGATAAACGAACTTAACAAAATATCGTCTTTAAATGGCTATTGTGAGAATTTTCGCAAAAGGCAAATATTTATTACAGTTAGTTACAATCTATGCCGCCAAGTAAAAGATTGTTTTCATGGGTTGCTAGAAGCTGCTGCACTTGCTGGAAAAACGGCTGCCGAGTATAAGGAATATGTGAGGAAAAGAGATGAAATCAGGAATACCAAAGTGAAAGATAACACGATACTTGAAGAGGATGATGAAGAAGAGGAGTTAAGCGGAATTCCTGATTCATTTCGTCTACTGAATGATAATCATTTCCCATTATTTATTACATATAAAAAGTTTTCCAGAATGCTTCAAGGGACTTACGGAATTGATGCTCGGAAACTTACAGTACAAAAAAAGCATGATGCAGAAGATTACGATTCATATAGCGATGAAGATGAGGAATTTCACCATAGATCTTCTGTATTAAACTTATCCAATGCATCATGGCATCACTTTATCGACTATAAACTTTTCCAAAAAAAATATTGGCCTCGCTTTGGTGATTATTATAGGAAGAAACTGAGTTGTGAGCTAGTTTTTTCTGAATTCTCTGTTATTAAGGTATTTATCCATATATAAAAAATCTCCCTTATCTATAAAATGCTTTATCATACTTATTTCAAAAAAAAAAAATCTCGAAGGGAACGAATCCTGATGTAGATCTTTTATCAAGAGATGATTATCGAACTATCAGCACGAAGAAATATCCCCTATTCCGAAACAATCGTGATGAAATTTATGATTTATTTGAACGATACGAAAAAATGAAATCAAGAAATGATGACTATGACTCGACTGATAGGTACAATTGAATTATAAATAATCCTTTTCTTTTTTGTATAGATTTCATATATTTTTAAATTTTTTTTGGCAGTACGCTGGCAATCTTTCGTCATGCCAAAACGAAAGAACTTGCTGGCCCGCATATTCATGAAGTATATATCGATGAATGTCAAGACAACACTATTGTAGATTTGGCGCTTATATTGAAACTATTTGAACGAGCTGATAATGTTTTTATGGCTGGAGATATTGCACAATGTATTGCCCAGGGATCCTCTTTCCGATTTGAGGGTATGTATTGTTCTTTTAATAATGTCTTAATATGAGTTCATCTAATTTTTCTTAATTTTTGTTGAAACACAAATAGACTTACATTCATTAATGCATAAATGGGAACTTGATCGAGTTCAAACTATTTATAAATCACCAAAACTAAAACAGTTTGAGCTAGACGTTAATTACCGTTCCCACAATGGAATTCTTCGACTTGCTGCATCAATAATTGATCTCATTTCAGAATTTTTTCCTGATTCAATCGACAAGTTGGAGCGTGAACGTGGTGAAATTGGTGGTCCTCAGCCTATCATCTTTCAGAGTGAGACCTCCCTATTTAATGTCCTCTCTAAACGTAAATTCACACTAGGTGCTAGACAAGTTATTATAGTACGTGATAAAAAAACTAAAGATCGTCTGAAGCCTTTTCGGTTGGGATCGGTTTTGACTGTTTACGAGGCAAAGGGTATGGAGTTTGATGATGTGTTGTTGTATAATTTCTTCACCGATTCAGAAGCAGGTCGAAAGGTATGATGCTATGAACTTTATTTGTGATCATTTAATAAATAATTTTAGTAAAAATCATTAATAAATATCTTCTGTGTTTTATGCATAAATTGTATTTAGTGGAGAGTAATTCTTTTCGCTTCAAGAGGTTATTCTAAAGGAATACAAACCTTCTCTCATGAGAAACATTATATTCTTTGTTCTGAGCTCAAGAATCTCTATGTTGCCGTGACTAGATCTCGCCAGCATCTTTGGATTTTTGATGATAATGCTGAATATAGCGAATCAATGCGGATACACTGGGAACATGAGAAACTGGTCAAAGTGCGTCCATTTAAAGAATTTTACACTTTATCTTTTGCTAAAAAAAGCAGTTCTGATGAGTGGTGTCTGCAAGGGAAAATTTTCTTCGAACGGCAACAATATGAACAGGTAAACTTGGTTTTAAAATATTCTGTCATGCAAATTATAATCAAGACTAACTTAATCACTTCACTTTCAGGCCATCTTCTGCTTTGAGAAAAGTGGAGATGAAGGTCTTCTCAAACTAGCTTATGCATATAATCTCCAGGAGATTGCCAGGGACTCCGTTAATGAATCAGATGGACCTACAATAAAGTATAATTTTGAATCTGCCGCTAAGGCTTTTATAGATTGTTCCCGCCCAGCTAAGGCAGCTCAATGTTATAAGGTATAGTCTTAATCATATCATATGAAAATTTAGATTAAGCTTAAACTTCAATATTTCTAAATTAATATTTAAAATATCCAGGATATTCGTATGTGGCGAGAGGCAGGAGACAATTTTGTAAAGGCCGAGAAGTATAATGAAGCCATTTTAGCCTATAAAGAAGCAAAGGGTGGAATCTTATATCCAATCATAATCGATTTGATGCAGAGGTAAGCTGTGATAGTGTAATTAATTATATTATCAAAATGTTATTAAATTTAATGTTTGATGTTCGACTAAATTATTATAACAAGCCACAAGAACGAAATTGACGAAAAGTTATTCCGTCGCATTACCCGTCTTACCAACATCCATTATCGCAAAAAAAATAATAAGGAAATGAGCGAGAAAGCCCTTTCGATTCTTTCAACTCAAGAGGAACAAATTGAGCTTCTGAAAGATCATGCACCAGAAGAGCTTTTGGAAGTCTATAAGAAGAATGGTCAGTTTAATGACGCCGCCAAATACTTAAGTTCGCTTGGAAAATTCAAAGAGGCTTCAGTCATGCTAAGCGACAATCTTGATAAAGAAGAGAATAAAGAAGAGAATAAAGAAGAGAATATTATTGATTCATTATGCTACCTTTTACATTCTTGCAGAGTAAATATACTAGTAGTTACGATGAACAACAATGATAGTACCCTAAAAGAAAAAGAGTTATGTAAATTACTTAACGATGCATTAGATATCACCACGAAAGTCAAATCTCAATCTTTAAAGAAATCTGAGAAGTGGCGTAGACTAATGGAAGAGTTCCAGTTATATTTAGCTTATTGGAAGAGTGACCTAAATGGTGTTCATAAATGCATACAATCTTTCCGGAGGCGTAATGATACCATTATCGAGTTTCGGGCATTAAATATATGGTTGAAAATTCCACAAAAGTCTATTAATACTGAGTACTGGCATGAACGATTACAACATCTAATGAGACTCTGCGAATTAGCCTATGATTTTATAGACCCACGTAAAAATGTTCACAACAAAGTGAAGATTAACAAAAATTTCGAAGAAATTTTTTTCTTTGAAGAAGTACAAGATCGCCCTGATAAACGGAAAATTTCTTTTGATAATCTGCTTGTTTGTCATTTAAACGAAATGCATAACAAAAACACAATAGAGGATTTAGAAGATTGGAAGATTTATAGCGTGAATATTGTGCATAAGGCAATCGCAAAGTTTCTTGCTTCATATATATATGATCTTATATCTAATGCCGAACAAGAGGGTAGAAATATTTCAGACATAGGTCATATAATTTGCAATGAATATGTAGTGTATAAAAAATGTAAAAAGCCTGATTGCCGGAGGCATCACGTGATTCCCACGCCATCAATTCTTCACAAACGTATTACGCTTGCATGTCTTCAGTACACTGTAATACGACAATTAGATACAATATATCATCTTCACTTGCTTATTGAGGAAAAATGTAAATATGTTATGGGTATACAAAGGTTTTGGGCCGAAAGAATGGTAGATTGTCATTTTCGCTATCAATCCCCACAATCAAGTTGCCCAGAGATTACTCATGCAACGATCATCAAACTTCCTAGACACACATATGATGGGCTTGTAGGACTCTCTTATAAAGTTTGGTTAGGTAAAGATTTTGATCCATGTAACTTTGCACAAATGTTAAAATGCATATTCGTATTACTACAGTTGCGGTGCAGATGGGGCATTAATAAGTTTAACTGGGAAACATCACGTAATAGTTATAATTCTATGCCTGGTTTTGTATACACTGGCAGCTATTACGAATCAGTTGCAAAACGACTTGGTTTATTCGCAGAATCTCTCCGCACTAACTTGGTGATTAGAGCAATAAATCAATCAAAGGAATTCATTAATTATGCTGTAGAAAATTCTGAACAAGTTAATATAGTTAAGTCTGAAGCTTTTGGTGACCTTATATCTCTTATGGAGTTCACGACGTTTTTGATTTTAGCTGCTCGTCCTGGATATTGCGATTTTTGCCTTCCCCGAAGTTATTTGGTTAACGCATTCAACTTGAACCAATCCCTTGTACTTCTAAAAGGCAGAAATAAATACGATAGAATAACCTATAATAATGAAATCACATATTTATTCTTTCAAGCTAAAAAACTTCTCGATACGATGATTAATAGGAATATGTACTACCAGAACTACCAGAACTACCAGAACTACCAGACAATTATCCTTCGGTTGATACGACTTCTGGCCCTTATCTGTCTGAATGAATCCACTTTAACATTAAACATATTAAATTATTTTAAAAGCTTGAGCAAAATACTGAGAAACGAACCTTACAAAAAATATTTGTTAACAGGATATTTTGCAAACATTCTAGATGATGACCTTAAAGAGAATGGCTTTGATTCACTCGTTATAGTTTACTACAACTGGGGAGGAATGTCTAAATTTTCTTCCTTGGAAAAGTCTGGGATCACAAAGATTTCATATCGTAGTATTGAAGAATTTCGTTCTTCTCTTCAAAAAATCACGTCATCAGTAGTAACCGCAGAAAGAGAGTCTTATACACCAAACAATCAAAGTTCATTCCAACCAGCTGACAGCAGTGAACAAAGTTTTGCTTCAATGCTCGATGATAATGATGAAAAAGTTGAAGAAGCTCAAGAGACAGCCATAGCCTGGTTCCGTGAAATTCACAATTCTTCCCAGGCTCAAAAATCAGCATTAAAAATCCAAACCTGGTTCCTTCAGATTCAAAATCGAGAGAAGTCTCGTCAGTCTCATTGTGATCCAATCCTAGATAAAATTTACAAAGAAGTAAAATTATTTTGCCAAACCGCAATGAACAAAACAGTGCGCAAGTATACCTTTTACTTAATGGGCCCAACAGTAGATATAATTGTGGACCTTATTAAACTGCAAGACAGCATGGATGAAAATAAGAATAAATTGAAAAAAATAATTAATACTTCTGATGAACAAGAGATCATCGAAAATTGTTTGGAGCTTGAAGATGAACTAAAGTAATTGAAATTAATTTGATATTTCCTCTAGGACTTCTTTTTTATCATCTGAGCTCATTTGAATTTTTTTTTAGGGACCCCGATTATGGGCATTATGTGATTGTTAAGTCAGCGTTGGAATCATTATCAATAACTGAGAACTCAGAGCGACATAAAGAAGCAAATATTGAATGGTTAGAACGCGAATTACAACAAGCGAAGGAATCGATTGTTAGGGTTCGGGAATGGATAAAAAATGTAATGAGGTTAAAAAGATTATAAATTTTGGTTTTATAGCGACTATGTATATATGTTAGTTTGAGCACAATGAATGGAATTTTCGAAAATATTTTTTTTTCAATAATATAATATCTAAATAACTCGCAAGAAAATTAAAATAAAAATTTTTAAATTTTTATTATTTTATTAATATTATTTTAAAAGAACAGATTTATTATTTAACAATGTATTTGAGTTATAGAATTTAAGATATTATTTTGTAAGAAACGGTGAATCAGAAAATTATTTATCAAAAAGTTTACATATTTACATATTTTTACATGTTTAGCATTCTTTCATCGCATCGATAATAATATTTATCATTTGGAAGCTCAAGTGGTGGTTGCTAATAATACTAGATTATTATTGATGTTGGTGTGATGAAGTTTATCAAACTATTAAACCTTATAATACTATAATAATCACAATAATTATCAAAGAATCCTTATCTGTTTCGATTATGGCTTTTGTTTCTATTTCTGAATTTAATTAATGTAAAGGATTAAGTCATTTTTTATTGTCATTTTTTTTTTATCATATCACTTAATTTTTTGTCGCGGAACACGGACACAAACAAAATTTGATGCCCAAGTTAAAAATCCGTATAACACTTGCTGTAGGATTAAATATTCCATTCATACATTCAAAAGATGATATTATTGCGTTGTCTTCTTTAGCTTAGCTTCGAAGGTTCTTTACATATAATTTTGAGATCTATATATAGCTATCTGGGGTAGTTACATATCTAGGGTAGCTATCCTAGAAGTCACTTGATAGACAAAAATCGGGACGAGAAGTTATATGCCAATTCTCTAGGTTAAATTTAATTTGTTAATAATTTTTTAAAAACATAATCTACGGTAATTTAATATTTTTTTTATTTGTAATAAATTATATATTAATTAATTATTTAATTAATTAATTATTTTTAAATTTTATATTAACTTTAAATGAAATAAGAAATGGTCACTCAAGAAATTGGGAAATTAAATGGGGTTTGGTTAAAACATTATACTCTAGACGCCAATATTCATAAAACAATTACTGAGGAAGAAGAATATCGAAAAATTATGATCAAAAATGATTCATCTCTTACTTAAAATGAAAAGATCTTTTTACTTAATGAATTAAAGAAAGTATATGATAAAGTTAGAATTGGTGATAATTCTGTAAGACAACAGAGTAACAATTGTCAGAATTCCATCAAGCAACCCAATATTGTGAATTTTGTATTCGCAAATATTTAGAAAATAATTTTGGTAATTGGACATCCAGAAATAATGATATTGACTAATTAATTCAAGAATGTCAGCAAAAAACTGCAGCACCTGATAGAATAATTGAATGGATTGAATATGATCAATTTGAGAATACAGAACATCTGACAAATGAGGGTGTGCTATTATTTATACAGCAATTTGGAAGTGTGTTAAATTATTATTGCGTTTATTATATGTTTGATATCTTGGAAATATTAATTACATAAGTACAAAAAAATTGATAGGTGATATTAAGTTTCACACTTGATAATACCTCTGCATTTCTTGCTACATGTTTTGGACTAACTAAAGATCCAACCACTCAAGTTAATATGCTAGTTTTAAATTATTATCAAATGATTTAAGACATTTTTTAAAAGATATTATCAATCACTTACATTATTACAAAAATATAATATTATTTATGATATAATAAATAGTTTAGATGAAATTCATAAACAAAATATAATACATAGAGATTTGCACTCCGGAAATGTTTTATCAAATATTAACAGGTATATTACAATTTGATAATATCTATGGGAGTCTCCCATATATTGCACCTTAACTTTTATGTAAAGAAAATTATTTAACAAAATCAGATGTGTATAGTTCAGGTCTTATAATGTGGGAAGTGATTACTAGTGAAACCCCCTTTAATGATCGTGAATTTAATTCTGATTCTGATTTTCTCTTGCAATAATTAATGGATATAGACCTAAAATTTATGAATCTATTCCATAAGAATATGCAAATTTAATGAAACAATGTTGGGATACTAATCCTGATAAATAGACCTGATGCAAGAACAATTAATAATAAATTGAAATCATTAATAAAGTTATTATATAATGAAATGGATAAGCAACAAGAATCAATTATTTAATCTAATAGTTCAAAATCAAATTTTTCCCAATCAAGTTTAACGAAAATTAAAAATAGAAAAAAATCCAAACCAGTAAAGAATGTACAGTACATTTAACATTTCATCCCAACCTAGAAATGTCACATTTTTAACTTTTAATTTTTAATTATTTTATTTTTTATATTTTATTAATTAATTTATTGATTTTTTTCATCATCTTTATAGAAGAACAATAAGGTAAATCACTCAAATCATTAATTCCAATAAAAATCTCCAATTTAATACTTATTAATATAATGTTGTACATTTATGTTTCTTATTCCTTTGTTTAAATGTATTAGTGTCTGAGTGAATATTCAAAAAATTTATCCGTTTTAAAGATCTGCTGTACTCACGTGACACATTATATTGGCCGCATAATTTTGGCGTAGTAATCCCAGACGATTTTTATAAATTTCTGTCCTTTTAGAACCTTTACAATCATTACAGTTTTATAAACATTGCGATCATTACAACCATTGTAATTACAGCAACCATTAGATGAAAGGTTGCAAGCCCTCTAACTTTATAAACCTATTATGGCTCATATTTTATTTAACATTTCGATCATGTTCAATCGATAATTGATATTTTATTAATTATCTCATTAATTATTTTTTATAAATTAACTTATTCTTCTTCTTTTTATCTGATATTATAATAACCCAGAATCTAACATTATAAAAAAATAGAAGTTTATTTTTCTTAAATCAATTCATTTCCTTCCTATTTAATACTTTTGTTCGCATTTTCTTTCTTGTTTGATTTCATCTCATTTTTTTTTGTTTATTATACATTTTCCATCCCATTCAATTTTTTCCCTTTTCGTTAATTTACATTACATGATAATGCTTTAAAATATCTTTGGTAAAACTTAATTTCTTGAAAAAAGAAATAGGATTTTTTTTTTAGTTTGAGTAAAGGTCGTCGTTTGACCGTCATTTATTTATTTAATAAATCAGTATTTTATCGAACTTTTTTTAGACATAAATATCCGTAATGCGTATTATGACGTGTATTCACATTGGCTTAAACAGGAATATCTCGGCGAATATCGGTGCTATAGCATATTATCTTGTAGCCCAGAGCCAGATCCTTCGATCGGTGATAAGAATACTTTAACAGGAAAAAAAAAAGTGTAAAAATTATAGAGAAATTACTGCTGTAAGAATTACGCAATTTACGTAATTTCTCCGCAATTTTTACGTCAAAAAAATTTCGTTTTTTTTTTTTTTTTGGCTTCGATCGTGATTTGTGAGACGAGAGCAATTTTCTATTAAGGTACTTCTATGACCGATAAAGCCCTTGTTATGAATGTATTCATCTCTATGGCGCCGAGATATTTCTGTTTAAATTCAAAACGGCCTGTTTACGAGATTTACGTACCGGATATGTCAACCAACAAACTAAATTATATATAAAATGATACATATTTATAATATTTATCATTTGGAAGCTCAAGTGGATTGGAAGAATTCTAAGTCACTTGATAGCCGACGAAACCAATAATTGATAAAAATAAAAAATTTCAATAATCGTAACCAACAATCGATTTACTTCATCTGAAGGAACATTGATGGTTCTTCTTTCTAGATAACTTAGATAACTTGTCATTTTTTTTCACATCAAAATTGATTCAAGAATTTCATACAGAAAAAAGGATGACAATAATCTGTTATTAAACGACGGCAATATGTTGTATAGAAAGAACGAAAGAAAAGCATATTTCCGTGATCAGATGTAATCAATGCCAAGTAGATGAATATATTAGGTAGAAAAGAAATAAGAAAATTATTTTTTTTTTAGAACATTTTTTAGAATATACATGAAAAGATTGGAAATTCGGGAGTATTTATTTTTATTTATATTTAATTTGTAAACATAATTTATGGTTATCTCCGTACATTAGGTAGATCGAAAAAAAAATAAAATTATTTTTTTTAAAAAAAAAAGCATACGACATTTTAGTTATTCATTCAGAACATTGGAAAACACATGAAAATAATAATCAAAATAAAAATAAATAATTATTAAATAACTGTATACATTTACTATGTAATTTTTTATGGAAATAAAGAGGAAATTTCGTCAAAAAAAAATAATTAAATTATATTATCTTCATGTCTATGGGGGTTTGATGATTACTTTAGAACCTCCTTTAGCTCCAAATTTAACTTATCTATATTCCTTAGACAACCTAAAAGATTTTTATAAAATGAATCACAAAAATAAAATTTTTTAAGGGACATTTGATAAAAGTTCACCATTAATTTACCTCCTCCCCCAATAAATTTATAATATAATACTTACTGAATGGCATTATTATTATTATTATTATTTAATTTATCAGATTTTCTAAATTAAAATATTGTAAAGTATAATAAGTTCATGTTATTGTATTTGTATTGTGTATTGTGCATTAATTAATTTAATTAATCAATCAAATTGAAAAATTATAAAAATGTCCAAGAATCAACTTGAACGAATTTTTTGTAGTAATAAAAATTAAAGAATTAAAAGATGGCTGTCATTAATACAATTAATAAATTCCATACTCATAAAATACTCACAATACCCACAATATTGAAATTTATTCTTCAAAAGAAGATATATTTGCAGTTAAAAATCATCGCAGCAAAAATCTTAGAAATAAATATTATGATAATAATATATAATTCATATTTGAATATTCAAATTCCAAAAATTTAAAAAAATTTTGACATTTCTCATGATCTTTTCAATCTTAAATTATTTTTTACTATGATAATTTTGAGTTTTTGTTATATTCATATTCAAAATAAAAAAAAAAAGGTCAAAATAAAAGTAATAAAAGTACAAAG